AAAGAAATTAAGGAAGACACAAATAAATGGAAGCATACACCATGCTCATGGATTGGAAGAATTAATATTCTCAAAATGTCCATACTACCCAAAGCAATTTATAGATTCAACGCAATCCCTATTAAGATACCAATGACGTATTTCACAGAAATAGAACAGACATTTCAAAAATTTATATGGAACCATAAACTACCCCGAATAGCCACAGCACTTTTGAGAAAGAAACACAAAGTACGAGGGATCACAATACCGGACATCAAACCCTACTACAAAGCCACCATACTGAAAACAATCTGGTACTGGCACAAGAACAGACCCATAGACCAGTGGAACAGAATAGAAAGCCCAGAAATAAGCCCAGGTCTCTATGGGCATCTAATATTTGACAAAGGGGGCAGAAGCATAAAATCGAGCAATAAGAGCCTCTTCAACAAATGGTGTTGGGAGAGCTGGACGGCTACATGCAAAAAATTGAAATTGGATCATCAGCTAACACCATTCACAAAAATAAACTCAAGATGGATAAAAGACTTAAATAGAAGTCGCAACACCATCAAAGTCCTAGAGGAGAACATTGGCAGGAAACTCTCAGATGTCCCACGCAGCAGTTTTTTCACTGATATGTCCCCTGAAGCAAGGGACATCAAGGAAAGAATAAACAAGTGGGACCTCATAAAAATAAGAAGCTTCTGTACGGCTAAAGGAAACGTCAGCAAAATTAAAAGGGAGCCAGCTGTATGGGAAAATATGTTCGCTAATGATACATCAGATAGAGGTTTGATCTCCAAGATATATAAAGGACTCACTTGACTCTAGTCCAATATGATAAATGATCCAATCAAAAAATGGGCAAAGGACCTGGGCAGACGCTTTTCCAAGGAGGAGATACAGAGGGCCCAGAGGCACTTGAAAGGATGCTCAGCATCACTAGCCATCAGAGAAATGCAGATCAAAACCACCATGAGGTACCACCTCACACCGGTCAGAATGGCCATCATAAACAGATCCACAAACAACAGGTGCTGGCGAGGCTGTGGAGAAAAGGGAACCCTAGTACACTGTTGGTGGGAATGCTGACTGGTGCTGCCATTGTGGAAAGGAGTGTGGAATTTCCTCAAAAAGCTGAAAATGGAACTGCCTTTTAATCCAGTGATTCCCCTGCTGGGACTATACCCTAAGAATCCCAAAACGCCAATTCAAAAGAACCTATGCACCCCAATGTTCATAGCAGCACAATGTACAATAACCAAGTGTTGGAAGCAACGTAAATGCCCGTCAGTAGATGATTGGATCAAAAAATTATGGTACATTTACACAATGGAATACTACGCAGCAGAAAGAAAAAGAACTACTAAACTTTGCGACAGCATGGATGGAACTAGAGAGCATTATGCTAAGCGAAATAAGCCAGGGGGCAGAAGACAAGTACCATATGATCTCACCTATAAATGGAACCTAACCAACAATACAAAGATGCAAGGAAAATAAGACTAGCAACACTGAAAGGAAAAGAAACCAACAGAGACAAGAGGGAAGGAGGGAGGGAAGGTGGGGAAAAGGAAGGGAAGGGGAAAGTCAAGGAATATATAGCAAGGATTCATGGACAAAACCAAAGGGGAAGAGCTGAGGGAGGGAGAGAGGGGGCAAGGAAAAGCGTTTGGGGGTTGGCAGAGACAAATATATTTGAAAACATAAATAAATTTTAAAAAATAAACAAATAATCAAAGAACATGTATGAATGACATATGATCATGGACAACAGTGCAGGAAATGACTGTGGCAATCGGGGATGGGATGAGTGGATGTGGGCATAGGGGGAAAAGTTTGTGACAAGTATAATAGAAAAACAATAAAAATTATAAAAAAGAACAAAATTTGATTTTTAAAATTTAAAAAATAAAAAAGAAACTAATCCAATAAGCAGAACAACAAAAGAATCATAAATATGGAGATCATCTTTAGGATTATCCATTGGGAGGGGGAAAGGGGAGAATGGGGCAAAGATGTAGGGATTAAGAAGTACAAATTGGTAGGGATAGAATAGACAGGGGATGCTAAGAACAGCATAGGAAATGGACAAGCCAAAGGACTTATATGCATGACCCATGGACATGAAATAAGTGGGGAGGGAATGCTGGAAGGGATGGGGGGTACTGGGTTGAGGGAGGCAAAGGGGGAAAAATTGGGACAATTGTAATAGTATAATCAATGGATTATTTTGGAGAAAAAAAAAAAAAGAAAAGAACTGCCCTCAACTGCTAATATCAAACACTGAATGCTTTTGAAATTGGCTTTTGCTGTGGATTTGATAATGTTCCTTAGTGAATTCCACCTAAAATTACAAGGCAAAAGAGTACTTTTGTGAGAAACTTATACTGCAGTAATGCCATTTTGACTAGTTGTCAAAATGTAATCACATGTAATGTCATGCTTTCAAAAGTTAGAAACTTAAGCGAGATCTCCATTCCCACACATTTGCAGCAGACATTTTTTGAACTCACAGTATACTCCCAGCAGTATTTTTATACCTCACTGTAAATTGATAGAAATATCCATATTTAAAAATCTATTAAAATATGTCATTGAGGAGCTCCATCTATCTTCAGTTGAAAATAATCTGCAGTGTAAACAACATATTAAAGGTAAACAGCAACAAAAAACTCTAATAGAATTCTATAAACACCTTCCAAGTGATCAATATGCTCTATTAAAATCACATACTCATGAACTATTAGTATTGGTAGTAGCTATCTTTGTGAAAAGAAATTTTCCAAGATAAAACACATAAAATCTCATTTCTGATCAATATTAAACAAATGAACTTTTGCAACTGATTTTGCAAATTAGATAGGCAACATCTAATTTTTTACCCAAAATATCACTCCCACAAAAAATAATTCCCATTACTAGACCTGAATCACACACACACATGCATACTCACATACTCAATTATCATTCTTATATAATGAATGTCAGTAAAAATCTTCTGAAAATTTTTTTCTCTCTGTTATATAAATACCCACACCTGATTTTGTCTCTTAGCCTAAAAGCCCGAAAATAGTAATTATCTGGCTTTTCACTGAAAAGTTTGCTGCCTCCTGTTGTAGCATAGGGAAGATAAATTTCCTTCAAGGTATGACCAAAAAATTATTTCTGTTCCCTTTGCTCATGCAATCTATTTCTTGTCCAATTCTAGTAGGTGAATAGAAAAAAAAGAAAAATTTTAGTAATTACCTTGAGGGGAACAATAACACAATAGAAGTTGGCTGAGGAAAAATTGGAGTAAAAGGAGGAAATGGCATTTCAAACAAAGGGAAACAGACATACAAAAAACATGGCATAACTAAAGAAACCTGAAAAAACGATGATGACAGGTAGTAAAGGGCCTTTGAGCTAGCACACAGAGAGACTGTATAAAGAAATTTGACTCATGGTCCAAGTGAGAGACACTGGATTAAGGCTGCAGCTCTCATTGCTCTCCCTTCTTAACTTCAAGCCCAAATGTTTATGCCACATTTGTAGTGCTAAGTAGGTCCCGACACACTAGAGTTAACCTGAAACCCATATAATTTTATTAATTAATGTCACCCCAATAAATTCAATAAAGTAGAAAAACTATATAGTCATTACCCATTTATTACAGTTTGCTCTCCTTCTTCCACAAAGAAACCTAATCTTTCTTCCACATAACAACCTGTGGTGGGCAGAATCCTAAAGGAATCCCAATGATTCCCAATCTCTGATGCTCTCATCCTATATACTCTCCTGCCCTTCAGTGTGGGCATAACCTGTGGTTTACATGTAGCCAACAGGATAGAGAAAAATTAAAAGGATTTTGCAGATATAATTTAGGGGCCAAATCAGTTGACTTTAACTACATCACAAGGAAGCTTTGGGCAGGCTTTAGCCAACAGCCAGCAAAAAACCATGGCCCTCAGTTACATAACCACAAGAAAATGAATTATGGCAACAATGTGAATTAGCTTGAAAGCAAATTCTCTTCCCCAGTCAAGCTTCCAGATAAGAGTACATCTTTGTCAACACCATGATTGCAGCTTATGGGACCCTAAGCAGAGTGTCCAGCTACTCTGTGTCTAGACTCTGGACACATAGAAACTGTTCTTCAGACTATCAGTTATCTTTTCTATGAATTGTTTGTCCCTAGGATTTTTATCTTGTGGATTAAATTTAGTTACCTGTAACACCATTCCTTCCTCCTTTGTCTATTTGGCAAACTCCTACTCCTCTTTTATGCTTGCTTCTTCTCAGAGGTTGTACCTAACTCCCCACCATTCAGGAAAATGAAGGCCCTCTCATCTGATTTTCCAGAGATGTTGATATCTTTTCATAACAATTGCCAACAGTATATTATAGATACTATTTACAGCAGATCGCAAGCTCCATGAGGGAGAAATAATCTCTTTGTAACCCAGTGCAGAGGGTAGAGAGTAGCTACAAAATTTCCGTAAATGTTTAGTGACTTAAATGAAAGGCAATAAAGAGTTATAGTAAGAGAGAATGCACAGAAACTGTTATTTTGCCTAGTCAAGTACCTTTAGGTGTATCATTCTGATTTTATAAGTAATATTACAAGTTCTCCCCCTTTAATAGAATAGAAAAACAAGACCAAAGAATTAAGATTTACCCACCTTTAAGCAGCAGAGTTAAATTTTGAGAAAAGATAGTAATTTTAGGTTCAACCCTTTCAATTATGGCAAGACTATATAATAACACACTATTATAACAAGACTCTATAATCTAGTAGGCATCTTAAAGTTTCATAATGTCACAGAAAGAAATCTTTTGTATAAAAAATCTTATCCAAAAATAAATTTCAGTTTTAAAAACTACCCTCTAAGTATTAATCATATGGGGACAATTTCAGAATCACATACCTGGGGTGGAAGGAGAAAAGGGAAATGCATGACATTTAGTCAGTCTTGTGAATGTAGTAAGATTATTTTGACAATACTAGATAAACATAAAGTTTTAGGGAGTGTATCATATAATTTCCTTTTCTAAGTGAGACATGCAAATGAAAACCTATTTACCTTAAAGATTCAGATAACGGTGTTAAAGTGCCATCTCCCCTATCTATTACACGGAAGAAATTCAACTGCTCTCCTTCTCGGTATATCAAAAATGTAACTTGTTTGTTGTAGGAGGTCTTTTCCCAGACCTCATCTTGACTGGAATCCATGTACTCAGCCATGTCCCTAAGTGGATCTTCCATGGGAACTACAAATGGAAAAATTGATAAACAAGCTTTCAATTTATATCAAGTCTTATGCATCTTGGGATGGTGACAAGACATAATATGATGAATTTGTATACAGCCCTGTGTATATAATATATACATGATATCCTTCAAAGAATTTTCTGGTCTTTTACAGTTCATACCACCCCTTATATTGTATTAATATGAAAGAAATAAAATGCATTATTATGTTGTTATGTACAAAGATACATGAGGTTTTCCCCCTACCACTAGAGTCTGTATTTGTTGATTCTGACATAATACACTATGATTTTTACTTAACACCTCTGCTTTCTATATTTTCCAATACTGGTTCCGAAAGTCAATAATTAAAAGCAATATAAATTTCATTTACTTTAGATTTCAAAAACACACATAATTAGGAGACACATTATTAATGAGAAACAAGTGAATCCCTCTTTTTCTTTCTAGTTTTAAAATGCAGGCTGATTACTCTTAGTTTAAATTGGAGGCTGTTTCTTGATGTGCACTTAGGTTACTAAAAGTACACAATAATACAAAAACAAGGAGGACATTTATGTACTGAAACTGCTGTGTGTATAATGGTCAGAATGTTGTTTCTTAAAAGCATCTTCCCAGGACTCCAATTGTCCTAGAAATATCCATGTGTTCAGTCAGAGAACAAGGACTGGAACAAAACCCTCACTACTGGCAGGTTCTACAAGTCTGAAGGTGTCCTCAGGTTTGAATAATATTGCAACCATGATTATACAGCCTGCTCTTGTCCACAGCACCCACAGGTTCCATTCCTGTGGTGGAAATGGACTTAAAGAGATTGCTGGCTCTTAGCGTGAATGTTCTAAAAAGCCCCTGAACTCCAGACGTGGGTGTCTTTCGTAATGGTTACAGGAAGATAAAGAAGTTCATTCCTAAAAACACTCTCATGTCAAGCTGAAGAAACGTTTGCTCTTTCCTAAAAGAGACAACAATTTCTGAAACTGTATAACTCCCATTCAAGTAGCTTATCATTAACAGAATTACAGTGCTGTACTACCCTTTTAAAAAGTTACAGCAATAAGAAACACTTAAAGTAACAAGGTAAAAACATTAAAAATGTTCCCATGGCCTAAATTCAATATCACCACTACTAAAATACAAAAATTTCACAAATAAGATTTAGCTTATTTTATAAAAATGTTTGGATGCTTTGACTCTTTCATAGGCACAAAATGAATAAATATTAAAAGACATTTTTAAAGTAAGTTCTTACCAGTTTTAAGTTAATGATGTATTTTCCACATTACATTCATGAAAAATAAAAAACTGCTACTGCTGTTACTAACACCACATGAAAGCCTTGTTTAAATCAACATAGTGTGCCATAGTTAGGGAGGCATTGGGACTGAATATGTGTATGCACATATGTGTATGTGTGAACACACATTTTCATAACACAAAAATCATTTAGATTTCATCAGATATAAAACATCATATATGCAGTTTAAGATAAAATTTAGTTTTAGAGAAGAAAGTATTTTCTATTCTCTTTTGATAATGGCTAATTCAAAAAACAATTTTAAAGGCTAAAGATTACTGGAACTCAGATGATAAAGACACTTTCTTAACCATAAGTTTCAAATAAGACTAAATAACTAAAAAGAAAAAGTTTCTCAAATACCATGTGCAGAAGTTTTAGATTTGGGTTCAGTTTTTCACAAAGTTTTTAATATGTAAAGTTTTAAAATGACTTAACCATAAGTGTAAAAACATCAAGTTTTTAATTTCAAAAAAGTTGATTCAATAAAGATAAAATTATTAAAAACAATTTAAAATATAAAAAACAGACAAGTTCTAGGTGCTGATTTTTAAACTTACAAATAAGGCACAGAAAGCTGTAGAAAAAAATGGTATTATGAAGCTTCAACTATCTAAGGGTATGATGCCTTTCATTTTCTTAAAGTTTTAAAAATACATATATTTTTAACTCAGAATGTGTAGCACTTATACATGCCTCCTCATAAACATAAAATAATTTTAGCCCTAGTAAGAAAAGTAGATATTCTGATTAAAACCCTGGTTTAAAGAAAATACTATATAGAGATAACCAACTTTCAAAAATATAATACAATGGAGCTCACATGTCATTAAATAGTATATCATTCTATCTCACAATAATGACTCAGTAAATGCTTTAGGGGTTCTTGTACTACCTTCAGAATAGGAACTATAAACATCACCTCATGTCAGATAGAACAATTTCATAAGTCCAATTAATAGACAGTCCTAGATATTAAGAGTGCTAATTAATCATCTTCTTTAACTTATGCAAAGTAGTTAAACAGCCAAAGTAATACATTTCACAAAATACTCGAAATACTTAGGAAAAAGATGGTAATAGTGATAACTTTATTTTCTAACTTTTCTAAAATTTGAAGTATGGAGATAAAATTTGACTTGGAAGAAATAAATCACCATTGGAATCAATACTTAACCTTCAGTTTTCTGGTTAAAGGCTCAAACAAATATGAAGGTCTTCCCCAAAATGAAGACTGCTCTGAGCAGTCTAAAGATGCCTCTATTTGGTGAGGGTTCATGTAGCATACTTGATTCAGGGGCCAATGTAAACATTCCCGGTTCTTCCCATGCTTAGAACTTCCTTGTTAATAAAGTCTGCTCACATGATCTTCTCACAAGGTCCTTCCACAATCATCCTCCCACTACCTTGCTTCCACAGACTTTCACACTATCCTATTTCCTCCACAGCATTTACAACTGCTTGAAGTGATATCAATTCTTTACACACTTGTTGTGGATACTTTCATAAAGTAGGGACATTTTCTCCCATAAAACATTGCACTCAACATCTAGTACATGCTCAAAATGTATTTCCTGAATGAATGAATGAATGAATGAATGAATGAATGAACGAACGAACGAACAAACTCCCAGAGACTGCCTAAGTCTGAAAAAGGATTCTACAGGGCCATGATAATATCTATGAAATCCAAATACATCACAGACCATGCTAACAGCAGACATCCTAGAAGTTTCCATAAAAATCATTACCCCAAGAATTAAAGAATTAGTGGATAAGAAAAGCAACAAGACTGGAGTGAACCTAAACACAATGACAACATAATTATACTACGCCATCCCATTTCCCTTCCTTATATTGATGAGGTTTATTTTCAACTCTCCCTGGACTGAGACTGTCTGGAATATAAATTCCTGTCTCTATTCATTTAGGCTTAAAGAACAATGCCTGCGGGGGGGCAAGGGGGGGGGAGGTGGTTCTTTCAAAACCTAGTAACAGAAAGAGAACCTTACTACAAAACATAAAAACACCAACTGGCTTGAATATTGATATTGTCGAATTGCTTTAATATACATAATTTTAACATATGCCTACCTCTTCTAGTATTTATAGGTCCACCACGCATAGCCAATACCAGCTTCAAGGTACAGCCTTCTGAAATGCTGTGGATAGTTAACACAATAATAAACTACAATCATCAAAATGCATTCACTGTTTAATATATATTATGTACTTCTTTATCAGGCAAGTGCCTATCCTCTAAAATATAAAAATAGATATAGCAATGCACATAAGTATAAAATGTTAACTTATTTACTTATATAAATAATGAAAAAGTGAAGAAGTTTTCATAATCCTTAAATATGACATGAAATCTCAGTAAAAGTATTGGAAAATACCTCTGTGATCATGTAGTTTAACCTCTTTATTTTACATGTAAGAAAAAAGAGGCCCTAAGAAGAAAAGAAGCTTGTTCAAGACCCAAAGTGTTAGAAAGTAGCAGATATATTTAATAAAATAGGAAACAGGAAAACAGCAAATCTACAAGGTCTCCCAGTGCTCTCCAGCTATTCCATATTGCCTCTGGCATTTTTGTTCTTCTCTTAAGAGTGAAGATTGAGTAAGAGACGGGAGAAAAAAGGCAAAATGTCAGATACTATTATATGCAATCACTGATGTACATAGTGTCACTTAGTAACCGAAGAAGGACTTAATTTAAAAATAAAAGATCTGGTGAAGAGCAATAATCTCTTGCCCAATACTTGTGAAAATAGAAAGGAAAGGAACCCAGCCAGGTGGTAATGGGGTCAATATTCAAAGAAAGGAGCAAAGAACTCAAGATCAGAAGAGAAAGATCTAAAATGGAAGGAGATAAATAGCTTAGAGTGAATTATAGAAAAGCAAAACAAAGATTCAGAGGACAAATATCAGGTAATATAGGGTATTGAGCCAACATATTTTAAAGCTCAGGATTCACACTGAAATCTAGAAAACAAAACTATTCAGAATATGACACATGATCCAAGGATTCAGAATAAAAACAACAGTATATGAAGTTGTAATACCGAGCAATTATAAAACAGCTAATATGCAGTTACACTCACTTGTAATCATTCAAGCAATAATCATCTTCAATTTCCATATTATTCCAAATTAAGTGCTGCTGACAGATAGGAATACCTTAGGGAAAGGTTATAAAATATAGTTAAAAATTCAATAGAATCCTCAGAAGAATGTTATACAACACTAAGTCATTTTAAAAAAACAAAGAAGAAGGAGGAGGAATTAAACATACTTCTAAATTGAATTCTTAAGTGCTTGGCTAAAATTTACAGAATTATAGGTTTTTAAAAGGCATCGCTAAACATTGATGTAGTCCAATCTACTCGCTTTAGAAAAGAATGGTATATTTCAATAACTCCCTGGCCTATAACCAAGAACTCCTTTAAAAGAGAAGATTTTATGAATCAGCCATGAGGAATTTAACATTTAAAGCCTAGAAGCCAGTTCTAAATGCTACAAAGTACACTTTTCATTCAGTTATATTCAGGGTTAAAAGTACAAGTGGGGATTGGAGAAATGGGTAAAGGGGGTTAAAACGTACAAACTCCCAGTTATAATATAAGTCATATGGGTGTAATGTACAACATGGGGACTCTAATTAATAATATTGTGTTGTATATCTAAAACTTGCTTAAGAGAGATCTAAAAGTTTTCATCACAAGAAAAACAACTTTTATAACTGTATGCTGATGGATGTTAATTAGACTTATTGTGGAGATAATTTTGCAGTATCTACAAATACAAAATTGTTATATTGTACACCTGAAACTAAAATAACATGGCAACCATATATAAATAAAAATATGGAACAGTTTACTGTCCTTAGGGGTTTTTACTCTAAAAATCTGTTCCCAGAGTAACATGCCCATGTGGAATAATGATTGTATAGATATGAGTTTATTTAGTGGTTAAGATAGCATCTTTCACATATCTAGTAAATGGAAAGGTCAGTAACTTTGAAAAAGATCAGCAGAAAATACAATTTCTGAAAAAAACATTAATATATTAGAAAATTCTTTGTATGTGATTACAGTTACAATTGGATATTAATAAGCTTTTTGTACTGCCTGAACACTAATTACAGAATAACTCAATCTTGAGGGGGCAAATATTCTGAACAATTTTCAATGCTGAAAATAAGGTCTATAAGACAGCTTCTTTATAGTTTTGTAATGTTAAAAGAATAGTAAGGCATATGTGATACCAAGGCATAAATAATCATTTCTTCTTAGCAAACTGCATATTTGAATGCCCAAAAAATGTATGCACAATACTAGCCAGAGAATGCATATTATCTACACACAGAACATTTAATGGATACTTATATTGATAAAAAAACATTTTAAAACATCTCACATACTACCTCCTATAATTACTTTTGCTTATGATACTATAATATAAAATAAGTTGACTAGAATACTAACAGTAAGTGCTATTCACATATATATTAAGAGTCACATATAACTTGTCACAGCTTTGTTTATAATAATGAATAATTGGTAGATGAAAATATCTTTTAATACAAAATACATTTTAATAGAAAAAAATTTCTATTTTTACCCTTTTTAATATAATATTAACTTTTTAATATAATATATTTAATACAAAATATCTTATTATAGAAAAAATTTCTATATTTTAATTAGAAATTTGGGTAAAAATAATGAAATAAATTCATATTAAAATACCATCCATTCACTCAACACACAAAAATCTTTTAAAAAGAAATATGCCCAGACACTTCAAGATGATGGAACTGCGAGTGGAAGCCACACTGATCTCATCCCAGGACCAACCTGTGATTACAACTGAATTGTGAAGAAATCACCTGGAAAACAACTGAACAATAGTGAGAGAGGAGCCTTAACACCTCGGACAGACAGAGGAATGGGCTTTAACACAACCTAACTGGTAAGGAGTGCGGTAGGGGCTCGAGAAGGTGGGCTGGGCGGCCACGACGACAGCGCCAGAGGGCTACTGAAACGGCTAGTTGGACCCCCCTGAGAAGAGCAGGGTCTAAACCATAAGTGCGGATCTCCAGCCTACAGCACCAGAGCCCAAAAAGCACACAGACAACCGCCAGCTGTGAAAAGCATAGCAGTGCTCTCTGCCAGAGACAGGCACCTGGAGATGCAAGGAGCCGTTTAAAGGGCCAAGGCAATAATTTGTAGTGGTAGGCACTTACCCTGGGCTCCTGCGGAGGCAGGAGCAGAGTGGGCTGGAGCCGCCTGAAGAGACTTGGGAGGGGGGGTTTTGGGGAGAGGACTGAGAAGGTGGCCGGTGGGGTCCTGGTGCTGACTCCTACCCCACACGGCAGCTGCCACCTTACTCAGGGAGACCACTCGCCTGAGCGGCAGCAGCATGAAAGGACCAATAGCCCCAACCACAAGAGGAACTCTGCCCGGCCCTGACTGCTGGGGGCAGAGTGACAACTGGATTAACAACTGGAGGAGACAGACATAGACTGTAGATTTCTGGAAGTCTCTTAAAGACTGCCTAAGGTCAGATGGGGTCAACATCTGACTTCATCAGAGGCAGATGCAGAAAGGAAAGAAAGAGGAAGGAAGGGAGGGAGGGAGGAAGGGAGGGGAAGGAAGGAAGGAAGGGAGGGAGGGAGGGAAAAAAGGAGGGAAAAAGAAAGAAAGAGAAAAAGAAAAGAAAAGAAGCGGTCTCCTACTGGAGAAGTTCACACGACAGGAAGTCAAGACAGATCCATTTAAGAAGCAGGAGCAAAAAAAGAAGAGTCTCACAAAAAGTGGGAAGAAAAAGAAACACCCCCCAGTCAAAGGGAAAGGAGGAACCCCCACAAAGAGAACTAAATGAAATAGAGGCAAGTAAACTATCAGATACTGAGTTCAAAACAGCAGTTCTAAGGAAGCTCAGTGAGCTCAAAGAGAATTACAAAAAACTACAGGGAAACTATGAGGAACTTACTGCAAACTATATCAGCATGAGAAAAGACATAGAAACTATCAATAAGAGGCAAGGGGAAATGAAGAATACAATTTCTGAATTGAAGAACACAGTAGAAGGAATCAAAAGCAGGCTCAATGAAGCAGAGGATCGAATCAATGAGCAGGAGGACAGGTAGAAAAAAGCTCCCAGAAAGAGCAAGAGATTGAAAAAAGTCTCAGAAAGAATGAAGATGCATTGAGGGAAATGCAGCACAACCTGAAACATAATAATATCCGTATAATAGGGATACCAGAAGGAAAAGAAGAACAAGGGATAGAGAACCTGTTTGAAAAACTAATGATGGAAAACATCCCAAACTGGAGGAGAGAAAAAGTCACACAAGTCCAGGAAGCACAGAGGGTCCCATTCAAGAGGAACCTGACGAGGCCCAGTCCAAGACACATCATCATTACAATGGCAAATATCGAAGACAAAGAGAGAATCCTAAAGGCAGCAAGGGATAAACAGGTAGTAACATACAAGGGAGCACCAATATGGCCAGCAGTTGGCTTTTCAACAGAAACACTACAAGCCAGAAGGGAATGGCAAGAAATATTCCAAGGGCTGAAAAGCAAGGGCCTGCAGCCAAGACAACTCTACCCAGCAAGGCTCTCAAGTAAAATGGAAGGCAAAGTAAGGAGTTTCCCAGACAAAAGAAGGCTAAAAGGATGCACCTCCACCAAACCAGCACTATAAGATATGCTAAAGGGACTGCGTTAACAAGATGAAGAAAAAGACTGAGAAAGAGAGGAACACAGATACAAAAAGAAAAAAATGAATAAGTACCTATCAATAATAACTTTAAATGTAAATGGATTAAATGCCCCAATCAAAAGACAAAGGCTAGCTGAATGGATTGCAAAACATGAACCGCACATATGCTGCCTACAAGACACCCACCTCAGAACATAGGACCTACACAGACTGAAAGTAAAGGCATGGAAAAAAATATTCCAAGCAAATGGACAGGAAAAAGAAGCACGGGTAGCAATACTTATATCAGACAAAATAGAGTTCAAAACAATGGACACAAAAAGAGATCCAGAAGGACACTTTATACTATTCAAAGGAAGACTCCATCAAGAAGACATAAACATTGTACATGTATGTGCACACAACACAGGAGCACCCCAATATATAAGGAAAATCTTGGAGGACTTCAAGAAAGATATAGACAGCAACACAGTGAGTGTAGGGGATTTTAACACCCCGCTGTCAAAAATAGATAGATCTTCCAAACACAACATCAACAAGAATATTGTGGAAAGAACGGCACATCAGATCACATGGACTTAACTGACATATATAGAATCTTTCATCCCAAAGAAGAAAAATACACATTCTTTTCAAATGTACATGGAACAGTTTCAAAGATAGACCACATAGTGGGACACAAAAAAAGCCTCAACAAATTCAGGAAAATCGAAATCATAACAGGCATTTTCTCAGAGCACAAGGGCTGGAAACAAGAAAGCAACCTCAGGAAAAAACTCATGGACACTGAATAGCATGCTATTAAACAATGAATGGGTCAATAATGAGCTCAAAGAAGTCAAAAAGTTTCTGGAAACAAATGGAAATGAACACACAACAGTCCAAAACCTATAGGACACAGCAAAGGCAGTCCTGAGAGGGAAGTTCATAGCAATACGGGCCTACCAAAAAAAGATAGAAACATTTCCAATAAACAACCTAACCCTCCAGCTTCAAGAACTGGAGAAACAACAACAAACAAAGCCCAGAGCCAGTAGAAGAAAGGAAATAATCCAGATCAGAGCAGAATTGAATGGCATAGAGATGAAAAGAACAATTCAAAGGATCAACCAATCCAGGAGCTGGTTCTTTGAAAAGATAAACAAAATCGACAAGCCTTTAAGCACACTCATCGAGAAAAAAATGGAGAGGACCCAAATACATAATATCAGAAGTGAAAGAGGAGAAATAACAACTGATACCACAGAAATTACAAAGGATTGTAAGAAATTACTATGAACAATTCTATGCTAAGAAATTTGAAAACTTCGATGAAATGGACAAATTTCTAGAAAAATGTAACCTTCCAACATGGAATGAAGAAGAAGCAGAAAGTCTGAACAGACCGACAGCAGCCGGTGAAACTGAAGCAGTAATCCAAAAACTCCCAGCACACGGAAG